TTTTTTTTTTTTTTTTGGTTAATCCTTACCCGAGGGTATTTTTTCCATTTAGAGAGAGTGGGAGGGAGCGAGGAAGGAGGGGAAAAGAGAGAGAGAGAAACATCGATGTGAGAGAGACACACTGATTGGTTGCCTTCCACACATGCCCTGACCAGGGCGGAAATCGAACCTGAAACCCAGGTACATGCCTTTGACCGGTAATTGAACCCTCGACCCTTGTGTGCACAGGCTGATGCTCTAACTACTGAACCACACTGGCTAGGGTTAGGCCACTTCCTTTAATAACATCCTATTTTTTTAACCAGTTATGATTTATACAAAACTTGTCACATTTTGGATTCCTCACCTTTTTTTCCGAGATAGCACCCCATGCTGATGAGTCCCCCTGTTGTCTGTATAGTCAGGATAACTGCTACATGCTTTTCATTTCACTTCACCAGTCCTCAGTTATTAACTCAACTTTGAAATTTTTTCTTTATTTTATTTTTAATATATCGTTATTGATTTCAGAGAGAGGAAGGGAGAGGGAGAGAGAGAGAGAAACATCAATGATGAAAGTCACTGATCGGCTGCCTCCTGCACACCCCCTGCTGGGGATCGAGCCTGAAACCCTGGCATGTGCCCTGACTGGGAATCGAACCGAGATCTCCTGGATCCTAGGTGGGTGCCACGCCCAGCTGGGCTTTCTTTAGTTTTTAACCCTATTTTTTCCAATGAAAAATGAATGACACTTCCTGGGTGCCGTTGTACAAAGTGGCCATTACTCATTTTTCCGTCTTGACAGCATTTATAGTGCCCCCTTGTGCCAGGAGGTAGGCTCAGACCTGGAGACAGCATCGGGAAGGAATGAGACAGAGGTCTTTGCCCTCCCTGAGTTTAACGGCGGCCTGGGAAAGGCGAAGAGAACGTTTGCATATTAACCCTGTGCACTTGGAAGCATTGCTGAGCGCTGGTAGTGTACTTTTAAGACCCCTCTGTCCAAAGTCCACTTCGTTGTTGAATGCTCTAGGGGGAGGGTGCATGGGGACTGTTCCCTTCTCAGTCTCTGAATATTTTTTCCACTGATCTGTTCTTTTCTGTACCTGCCTTGTTTCAGGCCCACAATTGGGCCACCTCGGTTCTTCATTCTGGAGCCAGCATGCGGGACCCATGTGTGCCCATCCAGTCTTTCTTTTGAGGATAAGCTTGGAGAGATACAAGAGCGCAGGCAGGGGACAAGCTTTGGAATCAGGCCATCCTGGGCTCCAAACCCACCTCCCGTTTACTGGTTGTGTAGCCTGTTGCAATGATGTTACCTCTCTCACCTTCACTGCCCTCATTTGTAAAATGGGGTTTATGGTGTTCTGGTGAAGGTTCAATGAAATACTCTAAAGTGCTTAACAAAGTGCCTGCAACATAGTAAATGCTCAGTAAACATCAGCTTCTATTATTATTAACGCCTGAATCTGGCCTAACGTGGTTCCCTCTGATTCTTCAGCCTCACATCCCGCCAAGACTCACACTCGCCCAGCCCCCTCTTATCACGGTGCACACATGCCACAGGTGCAGGCACCCATCCCTCTGCTCAGGGCACTGTCTGGAACGCTTGCTACCTGGGTAATGTTCATTTGTCTTTTAAGACTTAAGTGTCATCTTTTTTAAGGAAACCTGCTTTGAATGCCTTGGGTTGAGCTAATACCCTCTCCTGGGGATATAGGCCTCTTTTTTAGCTCCTAACGATCGTTAACTATAGTCAGCCATATTACATCTTTATGTGATTCCTTGGCCCATTAGG